AGCAACCTCAAACTCTTGGGCTTAAGCAATTCTCTTGCCTCAGCCTCCCAAGTAGCTGGGACAACAGGTGCCCGTCACAACACCCGGCTATTTTTTTGTTGTTGTTGCAGTTGTCATTGTCGCTTTAGTTAGCCCGGGGCTGGGTTTGAACCCACCAGCCTCGGTGTATGTGGCTGGCACCCTACCCATTGAGCTACAGGCGCCACCTGAGTACTAAATTCTTGTCCCTTAGACAATAACTCACAGGAGACTACATCTAAGAGATTATGAAATACATGTTTTATTTTATTTTTTGAGACAGAGTCTCACTATGTTACCCTCGGTAGAGTGCTGTGGCGTCACAGCTCAAAGTAACCTCAAACTTTTGGGGAGATTGTCTTGCCTCAGCCTCCCAAGTTGCTGGGACTACAGGCACCCACCACAACACCTAGTTACTTTTTGTTGCAGTTGCATTGTTGTTGAGCTGGCTGGAGCAGAGTTCAAACCTGCCAGCCTTTGTGTATGTGGTTGGCGCCATAACCACTATGCTACTGGTGCTGAGCCAGAAATACACATTTTAAATTGAGATAATATTGAAAAGGAAACATGCGTCATGAATCAAATTATGAATGACCTTGTTAAATTTCTAGAGAGAAGTTAAAGTTAGTTCCCTAGGAAGACAATCAATGCAAAATTCATGTTCAAAGGAGCTGGATCCTCATGTCCTACCTAATTCCATGACTCAACTTTGATTTCTTAACTTTTAGGTATAGCTTAAGTAAGAGATAGGAAGGAAGAGAAGGACAATAAAGAATAACCTGAGCTGATAATAGGTATCAACAGTATTTTCTACTGTGTCCTTTAAATGAATGCTGGCTAGAACGATGACTATTACAGTTTTGGAACAGGACTAAAAACAGCAAAAATCTAGGGCCGGGCACGGTGGCTCTCACCTATAATCATAACACTCTGGGAGGCCTAGGCAGGTGGATTGCCTAAGTTCACAGGTTAGAGACCAGCCTGAGCAAGAGCGAGATCTTATCTCTAAAAATAGCCGGGCATTGTGGCGCGCACCTATTAGCCTCAGCTACTTGTGAAGCCAAGGCAAGAGGATCACTTGACCCCAAGAGTTTGAGGTTGCTGGTGACTCCACAGCACCCTACCGGGGGGAGCAAAGTGAAACACTCCAAAAGAAAAAACAAGAAAACTCAACTTGTGTTAGTCAAACGAAATGTTTCTCGAGTTTACTAAAGTCATCATTTGTGCCTTTTCATAAACTGTCTCTTAATTTTAACTTTTTCTATATATTACCAGCAAAGAGGCAGCTGTAATATGGCAATCCATGACTCTTCTCTCTTCTTTTTGATCTCCAGAATAGTGATGTTTAATAATCATTTCTTTCCTTTATAGCTTTTCTTCCTATGACTTGTCATCTCTACATGTTGCTTCCTAGAAGATATTCCATAAGGAAAATGCTTTGCTGTTTATTCATTATTTTAAGAGAGACTGTCCTGCGGAACACAGAAAGATATAATTTAACTCACAAGAAAATAACAATAATAATGATAATTTAACTCATAAGGATGGCAAAAACTAAAAATTACTTATTCCATTTATAGCAGCTACAGGAAAACAGCAGTCTGTTCTCTAAAGTGGATCTTACCACCTACCACTTGTTGAAATCTTAGCCTTGTCTTTGTACATTTCAGTATGGCAAAAGGTCAGGAGGAAACATCCTATCTTATCATCTTCTCTTTATATGTAGAGTGGCTGTTATGCAGATAAATAAGACTATATTTACCGTCAGTACATATCTTCAGCACTAACACAGTGCCTACTTATTGTGGACCTTAGTAAATGTTTTTGAGTAAATGCTGAAATAACTGCTAAGTTTTGGAACAGTATAGTTTAAAGCATCTAATAGGAATGAAACAGTGTTTCTGGAAAATTGTGGTGTGTTTCTTGCAATTTGTGGAGAGACTAGTAGAAGTTATCCTAAGTAGATTTTCAAATCCATTTAATTTTTATATTAATTCAAAAATATTTATTGAGTATTCCTCATGAGAAGGCACTGGGCTAGATCCTGATATATAGTGTTGAACAAGACACTCAGGATGTATGAAAGAGGGAATACTCTGCTTTTTTTTTTTTTTTTTTTTTTTTTGAGACAGAGCCTCAGGCTGTCCCCCTGGGTAGAGTGCTGTGGCATCACAGCTCACAGCAACCTCCAACTCCTGGGCTCAAGCGAGTCTCCTGCCTCAGCCTCCCAAGTAGCTGGGACCAGAGGTGCCCGCCACATCGCCTGGCTATTTTTTTTTGGTTGCAGCTGTCATTGTTGTTTGGCAGGCCGAGGCTGGATTCGAACCCGCCACCTTAGGTGTATGTGGCTGGTGCCTTAACCACTTGAGCCACAGGTGCCGAGCAGGAATACTCTCCTTTATGAAACTTCCAGTTTATTGTGGGAGGGAAGCATTACAAAAATATCTATTTTATATGAGGTTAGTGTTATAAAGGAAAATTATACCTCTGAGATCCTATGGATGTGATCTCTCTAAGCTTAGTTTTTCTGAAATTTAATCTATTGATGTAGTTAGTAGAATCTCTAAAATCATCAGAAAAGCTTGACATGGTTCACTCATTATAGCCATGGGTAGGCAATAGATAGTAAAGACTGTTTTGTCTCTAGGTATAATTTGTTTTTTTCTCTTACTTTTTTGGGGGGAGTGAGGGACAAAGTCTCACTCTGACACCCTGGGTAGAGTGCTGTGGCATTATAGCTCACAGAAATGAGGTTTCTCCTCCTGGGCTCAAGTGATCCTCTTGCTTCAGTTCCCCTCTCCCCCCCAGTAGCTGGGACCACAGGC